TTTATTTATTTATTTGTTTACCTGTATGCAAATTTATTATCTTCAAACCTTCTCACCCTTAAGTTTTATACCTGCACGATCCGATAAAGATCGTTACTGGACTGAAAAAATGATTCTCCACCACCCGATTTACGTTACCGAGCTTGAAAAAAAAAGAAGAAAAAAAATCCATGCAAAAATCGGTCCCATCCTCCCAATTGCACCCATCAAGCCCACCAATTGAGCCGTCGAAAAATACCATCCTCCTCTCTTGTCATCGTGATCATCGTCATCCGGGCGGTCCTCGGCACGCAGTATAATTTATACCTACCAACCCTTTTGCATTTAAATCGTGCAACCTCTCTGCTACCATAAAACAAACCTATACCATCTCTCTCTTATACCCATCCCTCGCGTGTACAGATATACGTGTACATGTATTAAAGAGGTCCCCGACGGTCTCCAAATCATGGTACACGTATAATACAGCCTTCGAAAATCGGAGACTCAAAAAGGAAGAGAAGTTGGGCCTTCGCGGCGTGCGATGCATCATATCTCATACACGTGTATCCCGGGGATTCTCGGAAACCCACTGGAGTCGTGGAAGGGAGATTCCGTCCGTCCGTTCGTATACGTTCGGCGGACCTCGAAATTTGTGAGAGGAGATGCTGGATTTTCGAGGGAGGATTCGGCTCTCCTTACGTATAAGTGGATGTGTGTTTTAGGGGCAGAGGGAGGAGAAGATTGTGACGATAGCCATACACGACTGCTTTTTTTTTTTTTTTTTTTCCATCTTGCAGCTGAACCTGTAGCTCCGCAGGGTTTTTCGGATATACTAAAATCTCTCACCAGAGTCATCAGGTGTTTACTTTTTTTTTTTTTAGGTGGTATAAATGTATATGGAATATGTTTCGTGTTTTTTAAAGTTTAAATTAAATGTGTATGACAGTTGTAAATGCTGGTGGGAACATCTTGAATTATTTTTTTTCTAGTATTGGCATCGGGCGAGCTTTGCATGTACGATTTTGTTATTTTGACTTTCAGGCTTGGAAATTTTTTTTAGAATTATTCAAACAATTATTTATATCATAAATAAAATTAAAAAAAAGTAAAAAATTAATGTTTTTAAGCATGACTAGCTCGACCTAATGAAAACACGTTTTTATCACAAATTATTTTCTAATGATCAGATGTACCTATGTGTAAAAAATCACCCTCAATAATTCAGAACTACCGATCTCATCCCCGCATCATGACAAATATATATTACACACGTACACCCGCACAAACACAACAATAACCCATGACATGCACTCGAGACCAAGTATCAGCGTCCTCCCGTGTATCATCACCCGCATATACGTATGTATGTATATGCATGCATGGAGGGATGCATCGTGTGTCACGTATATATGTATAATACTGCATTGAACAAAACGAGAAAAAAGGGGGGGCCTGGGAATCGTAGAGTAGGTGTGTATATTGTACGTGCATATACTTCGCGAGAGAAGAGAAAAAAAAGGGCTCAAAGGGAGGATGTGACGAGAGAAGACGAGAAAGGGAGGAAAAGAGAAGAGACCGAGAAAATAGGGGCATAGAGGGAAATGTGAAAGAGACCGTGTTGGAAGGGGGAAAAGGGGGAGAAAAAATGAGCCATTGAAAAGGAACGGCAATGACGACGAAGACACGCCGGGTTCAGCGTTTACACGTGCATGTACCCTATACGCGACGTTTAAGAACAGGCGACGAGAAATAATTTTTTTTTTTTTTTTTTTTTGCTTAGTGTGCTCGTAGAAATGCACATTTTGTACATTTGTTCAGTACAAGTAAAAGAAAACTTTTTCATTCATTTTTTTTAACTTAATTTAATTTTTACGAATTATGGCTTGGTATATTTATTTATGTACTTCTTCTGTTACTTAATATTTATTCATTTTACTGTAACTTATTATTTGTATTTAATTATTTAGTTACGTTATATTTGTATAATTAATCATTCATTAATTCATATCTTAATTCATATATCAATGTTTTTACATTTATTTGTATATTAATATAAATTTTTTTATTTCTTAAACTATTTATTTATCAGTTTAACTATTTTATTGTTTTCTACCATCGTTTCTGTAGCTACAATTATAAATTTAAAATATTTTTTATGTTTTTTATGTTCATGTTTCATTATTTGTTTACTCTTTTATCTACTCTTCTTTGGAAAATTTCAAAATTTATGGTGAGAAAAATAATCGTTCCTACGAATGTTGCGAATGAAAGGCATAACAGTAAGTACACTAAACTTAAAAACATTTGAAATAAAATGGCATTGAGTAAGCTTTACTTGGAAAAAGGGGTGCAAAAGGGAACAGTGACAAATAAAAAAAAGTAGAATACTCAAGAGAGAGAAAAGGTGTAACAGCGAGAACTCGAACAGAAGAAGTGAGCTAAAAAAAAAAAAAAAAAAAAGAGAGAGAGAAAAAAAGACATACCTCCAACGAGTTCCGTGGAAGAGTTGCATATATTATATCTACATACCAAGTGAGAAGAGAGAAAGACGTTTTACAGTGATATGAAGAAAAAAAACAAAAAACAAAAGAGTTGTGTGAGCTTGAAAAAGAGAGGGAGAGAAAAAAATAGTCGGCGATCGCCGAAAACCTTGCACCGTACGAAATGGAGTCGGGGAGCCAAAGACGAAGGACGATACTTATACTTACCCTACGGGGAAGAGTAACCGAAATGGTGCTCTTTATTGTTCAAAATTTTTATCTCAGGTGACCTACACGTATACAGTGTAACGAGTAATCCACCCTTACGATTTTTTTGCTAAAACGATGAAAATTTTTGGATTTCCTAAACCAATCGATTTACACAACATACCTACATGGACTGATGGTTTCTTTCTGAGGAAATGTGGTCAAGCTTAGCTCGATTAAAATAAATTCAATGGCATTAACCTACAAGTGTATAAAAAAAATATCATTCATGGCCCTTGGAAAATGCTGACGATAAAAAATTTAAGTAATAAAAAAAATTAAAAATTCGTCGTGGAATAAAGTATATCAACCACGAGCAGCTCTATTTTTAAGAAATTATCGATAATTCTCGATCATACCGATCGGTATGGTGCAAGTATCAAAAAGCAATTATGTTAGGCGTGCGTTTCTTTTCGTGCACGTATTTTTATCGCATTAACTTTGGACTGACAACTCGAAAGGGATGAATTCATGATTTTACACTTCATCCTCGTGATTGTGTCCGTTAAAATAATGAAAAAAAAAGGATACCTTGAAAAATGTGAAAAATCGCTAGAAAAAAAAGTTGTTCCAGTATTCTTGCCAGTCAAAGAAATCGAAACCGTCATCTGGCGGGAATATATATATATACATACGCAGAAACGATCGAGGAGAGAAAGCATTGAAAATCAGGTGCACCATGTAATATGATACAAGTATAAGTATATACCTCACTACACCCGTGGATATGTACTTATATACTAGTCTCGCATTAGCAGGACACTCACCTCTTCCTCGTTCCCTTTAATCTCCTTTGTCTCCCTTTCTAATGTACCTATACGCACCGCAACAACACCGGCAACGGCACAACAATGATCCATATACGAACCGAGCTTATTACCCGAGCATTCGCTTCGGCCCTCGAGCAATAAAAAAATGGCACGTATGACACGCAAGAAGAGAGGCATGGAAAAAAAAAAAAAAAAGAGTTGTAATGTGGCCACTCGAGGGACGAGAATGCGCGCAATTTCGCATAGCCGCAGTAGCCGATTTCCGGTGCAGCTGCAGCGCGACAACAGAGCGGCGCGTCATTCACAGTGTTGGTACAGGTATATATACATGTAGATGTGGGGGTATTGTGTGTATATAGTTGTGGATCAGGCTTGCGGACGCTTGAAGCTACTCTCTCGGAGTTGTCGGAGGAGAGGAGCCCATAAGACTCAGCAGTCTGCTGTTTACTCTCGGGCTGGCAACATCTCTTCTCGTGTACGTGTACAAGTGTAGTCGTGCACCTGTCATCGCGTTCTGGTGGGTTGTACGTTTTGTATTTTAATCGATTTGCGGGTGAAATTTTTTAAATTATCTTTGCTTGCTGGACTGGTGTTTTTTGAGGTATTTGGAAAATCGCGATTTCCGTGTTTTACAACTCTCTTTT